GAAAATGCGGAATAATCTATGAATCTTATAAGTTTAGAAAGAATAGCCTAATGATAAAATCTGTGATTGAAGGTGATTTTAATAACAATTTCAGCATATCCAAAAATATTATATTTAATTTTTCTATATAACTAATTAAAGAGAATTCCTTAATTGATTAAATGATGGAGGAAAATTTATTCTGATTTCCAAACTCCTCCATCAACTAAAAAACTTTAACAACTTATTTTTATAACTTATAAAACTATATATAATGAAATCTATTTTGACTTATATATTATAGAATTTGATGGTTCCATTTAAATTATTAATCAGTGAATATATATAGGAATAAACCTATATTTTTCAAAAGTAATAAAATTTATATTTAAAGTTAGAAAATAATTAACCAATAAACATGAATAATGAATCTTAAATTCTTAATATAGGCAATTTAATTTCAAAAAAGAAATATATTGAAATCAATATTAATATTACAATTAGATATAATAACATTAATTAATTATTTTTTAACTCTTTGCTAATTGCAACAACTTATCTTACAATCAATTATTCACACAATTTAAATATTAAAGTCAAAACAAATAATAAAATATCCTTGAATCTTATCTGCCAATTCAAAATTTTTAAAATGTAAAATATGAATAAATTGGATATGTATAAAATATTCAATTTGTGCAGAAAAATTTATACCAAAATGTAACAAGCTTCTATAAATTTTATTTTTTACTGAAAATATCACAATGATTTAATTTATTTGAATTAAATCAAAAATTTTGGTAAAATGAATTAAATATAATTATAATGATAGTTTTTCATTGAATTCATTATTTTTGTTTTATTTAAATTTTTTTATTAACTTTAATAGATTTAAATCATTATTTCTTTAGAAATTTCAAACATTGTTGTTTTTTTTTTTGAGCATCTAAATTACTTGGGTTAATTATCAAAACTGAATCATAATATTTAGATGCTTCTTAATAATTTTTAATGAAAAATAAGCAATTTGCTAAAGTTAAATGAAAATGAACCTTTTGATAATAATGATTTTAAATGTTTTGGATCAATTTTCAAGGCTTATTCTAACCATTTAATTGCTTATAATTCTTAATCATTCATATATATTACATTTATGTAAAATTTAGTTTTTTTAAGCATTCACCTTTATTTAATTCTACCTTTCATTGATAAAAGTTCAACATGTTTTGAGTTCAAAATTAAAGCTTTATTTATCCAAATTAAAGCTTGGAGTTATTGCCCTGAAATTACTAAAATTTCAGCTATAAAATATTAAATTTATATGCCTTTTTTGAAGAGTAAATCAAAATTATTTGGATTACTATTTAAAGTCTCATCAATCAAATTTAAAGCTTCTTACTTATTGCCTTGTTTAACTAAGCAATCACCTATATAACCGTTAGCTTCATTTTATACATTTTATTATTAATCCATCAATATGAGAAGAGTTTTTTAGAGTAATTTATCTATCATTTTGATTGCTTCTCTCTATCTGCCTAATAAATTCAAACATTTAGCTTTATTAATATTATCCGATTACCTCCAATATACAATAAATTTATATGTTCAGGATCTATTTTTAATCCTTTTTCTATCCATAATAAGGCTTCAATTTATTAACCTTATAACAATAAACACTACGCTAAAAATTTTAAATAACTAAACCTCTTCTAGATAATGAATTAATATGATTAGGGTTTATTGCCAAAACCTGATCTACCAATTTAATAGCTTCTTTTTATTCTCCTAACAGGCTTAAACATTCAGCTAATAAATAATATACACTACTACCTTTTCTCCACAAAAAATCTAAATTTTTTGGATGTTAAAATAAAAGTAATTCTAAAATTTAGAGTGATTCCTTTTGTTTACCTAATAAACTTAGACATTCAGCTATTGATTAAATTTGAAAATTACCTTTTCTGTATAATCATCAGTGTTTTAAGAATCAATAGACAATGCTATTTCAACAGTTTTTAGTGCTTCCTCATGTTTTCCTAATAAACTTAAACATTCAGCTATATCTATTTAATATTTATACATTTTCTATATAAAGAATCAACATGATTTGGATCGATGTATAATGCTTTATCTATCCATTTAATTGCATCATTTTAATCATTCAAAAAACTTAAGCAAGTGGCTAAATAGATTTATAATTACATCTGCACCACAAAGATAAAATATTTTTTTCATTATATTTAAGTGATTCATCTAAAATTTGTATTGCTTATTAAAATTCATCCCTATTAAATAATTAATAACCTATAATTCATATAAATTAATTACCTTTTTCAAAATATTTATCTGATTACTGCTAGCTCTCTTTACTACATTGAATATAATTTAAAGAAGGAAGATTTAATGCATCTTCAAATTCCTATAAATTTTAGATTAAAGTTTAAAAATTTTTAACTATTACATTTAAGGGATCATATAACTCTTCCATTTTTATCATTTGGCATAAAACTTCATGGATTTGATCTCCATTATATTCTTGAACTTGCAATTTTGATAATAGGTATTTTTAATTCAATCCATTTTTTATGTCTTGATATGATTATTCTATCTAATTAAATAATTAGTCAAGTTTCTAAATAATTCTATCTTGGCATTCTTTTGATTTCTCACCAATGAATTCGAATACTTCAATTATTTTTTTCTAATCTCTATGATTACTATGTCGTTATTCTGAATAGCATTCATCACACATGACACGTTTAGTTTCATCGCAATTATAGAAGATACAAAATCTTTCAATAATGCTTCTATGGTTTTTAACTGGGCAAACAATATTCATCATTCGCTTATAGGTATAAAAATTTTATAATTATTTTATTCTTTTAATTGTAANACTAAGCAATCACCTATATAACCGTTAGCTTCATTTTATACATTTTATTATTAATCCATCAATATGAGAAGAGTTTTTTAGAGTAATTTATCTATCATTTTGATTGCTTCTCTCTATCTGCCTAATAAATTCAAACATTTAGCTTTATTAATATTATCCGATTACCTCCAATATACAATAAATTTATATGTTCAGGATCTATTTTTAATCCTTTTTCTATCCATAATAAGGCTTCAATTTATTAACCTTATAACAATAAACACTACGCTAAAAATTTTAAATAACTAAACCTCTTCTAGATAATGAATTAATATGATTAGGGTTTATTGCCAAAACCTGATCTACCAATTTAATAGCTTCTTTTTATTCTCCTAACAGGCTTAAACATTCAGCTAATAAATAATATACACTACTACCTTTTCTCCACAAAAAATCTAAATTTTTTGGATGTTAAAATAAAAGTAATTCTAAAATTTAGAGTGATTCCTTTTGTTTACCTAATAAACTTAGACATTCAGCTATTGATTAAATTTGAAAATTACCTTTTCTGTATAATCATCAGTGTTTTAAGAATCAATAGACAATGCTATTTCAACAGTTTTTAGTGCTTCCTCATGTTTTCCTAATAAACTTAAACATTCAGCTATATCTATTTAATATTTATACATTTTCTATATAAAGAATCAACATGATTTGGATCGATGTATAATGCTTTATCTATCCATTTAATTGCATCATTTTAATCATTCAAAAAACTTAAGCAAGTGGCTAAATAGATTTATAATTACATCTGCACCACAAAGATAAAATATTTTTTTCATTATATTTAAGTGATTCATCTAAAATTTGTATTGCTTATTAAAATTCATCCCTATTAAATAATTAATAACCTATAATTCATATAAATTAATTACCTTTTTCAAAATATTTATCTGATTACTGCTAGCTCTCTTTACTACATTGAATATAATTTAAAGAAGGAAGATTTAATGCATCTTCAAATTCCTATAAATTTTAGATTAAAGTTTAAAAATTTTTAACTATTACATTTAAGGGATCATATAACTCTTCCATTTTTATCATTTGGCATAAAACTTCATGGATTTGATCTCCATTATATTCTTGAACTTGCAATTTTGATAATAGGTATTTTTAATTCAATCCATTTTTTATGTCTTGATATGATTATTCTATCTAATTAAATAATTAGTCAAGTTTCTAAATAATTCTATCTTGGCATTCTTTTGATTTCTCACCAATGAATTCGAATACTTCAATTATTTTTTTCTAATCTCTATGATTACTATGTCGTTATTCTGAATAGCATTCATCACACATGACACGTTTAGTTTCATCGCAATTATAGAAGATACAAAATCTTTCAATAATGCTTCTATGGTTTTTAACTGGGCAAACAATATTCATCATTCGCTTATAGGTATAAAAATTTTATAATTATTTTATTCTTTTAATTGTAATAGTGTGATTATAATAATATCAAATTATTTTCTTAAATAGAAAAGAATGAATAGGTTGAACAAACTTTAAGTAATAATAAATTGATTTTTAAAGTAAAATATTAAATATAAATAGAAAAGAGTAAAGTGGTTGAATAATCTTTAAATAATACTAAATATATTTTAAACATAATAAGAAATAAATAACTGGACATGAATATTTATTTTGATGGGTGCAGATTTGAATTTTAAGCTTCATGCACAAATTGTTTGGGGTAATTAATCAGATACTGATTATTACAGGTAATGTAGATGTTTTTGTAGAAGAGGCCCTTCATCATGCGATTATAATGCAAATGCTTATTTAGCTAGCAAGTTTTCAGAATTCTCTCAAAAAAATTATTTTTGTAAAACAATAGTGGAGATGGTTTAGTTGTAGTAAAATACTTATGGATTCCCTCAACCAGAAATTTATGATGATTAAGGTTGTAATTCAGACTTAAGTCTTGTAAAGATAGTATTATGTTAGAAAAACAAAGTTTAATTGTCTTATTTAGTATGTGATAAAGTTTTATTATAATTTGTATATATACAATAGAAAAAGGACATTTGGAATGAAATATTTTTATCTTTTATTAAATAATAGCAAAGGATAAGAAATGTGATGACGGGCAATTAATTATAGGAGATTGATGCCATTTTTATAAATATAGTTGTTAAGAATCCTGTTTAAGTTTCATCAAAAGAAAAGGAAAGTGTAAAAATTGTTTAGATAATTATTAATTAGTTAGCAGCTTATTTACTTTAACATTGTTTTTATTGCAATCCTATAGCAAATAATTTAGATAAATGCGTTACTTTTTGTAGTGAAAGTAATTTATTTTTGAAAATCCTAACAAATAACTATTGTTTAACTACCTATCTATGTTTATTTTACTAAACTAATTGAAAATTTAAATTTTTCAGATAAAATTGAATTTAGCTTTAGTCTTTTGTAACCAAATTTATAAAAAAAAATTTAATTGATATCATAAAAAATTATTGAGTAACTTAAAGATTAATAGTTAAGCATAAAATATGAAATTTTGTTTTTATTGAAATTTTAATTATTAATTAAACTCTTCTTTATGTATTTATTATATATAAATTTATATAAGAATTTTACAATTATGAATTTAAAATTGATTATTAATCCCTTGAATTTTCTCACTAATAATTTTTAAGTAATAATAATTTTAATTGATGTAATTGATGGAATATAAAATTAAAATAGAATCTAATTAATAATGAAGTCATTAAATGGTTAATATGAAGTCATCATATAATTATATAAAAATAATAATTAATTGACAAAATTGTATAAATATATTGAATGCATTATAAATTATTATTAGTGCTATTCACAACATTATATTGTTATACTTATATTCCTGAACTAGAAATAGATTTAAGTGCTCCACCAAAATAACGATGGAAAGAGGCTGTTCAACTAGTTCTTAATTTATATGGATATGAAGAAACTTTTGGTCCAGTATTTGCTTTTCATAATGAACATTCTTTTGATGTATTAAACTAAGATGACTATACTACTATAGCATAAGCTTTAAGAAAGAATTTCCCAGAACATGCTTTAGAATTAGAAGGGATAATTGAAGTATTGGATAGACCAGAGATCACATTTGAATATATGGCAGGTTGGGCATATTTTCATGAGATTGCCCATATTACTAATTAATTTTAAGAATGCACAGGAGTTTTGTTATCATTAGATGATTAAGTAATACATGGAAGAAACATGGATTAAGCACCAAAATAAGGAAGAAATTTAGTTTTGCATTTATATATTAAAAAGGATGGAAAAAATATTGGAGAAGTAGTTGATTGGTATTGGTTTAAAGGTGGATTTATTACAGCATTGAAATACAATGTTGTTGCTCTTGAAGAAAATTGGAGAATTGACGAATATTTAACTAAAGAATCAGTTATGACATATATTAAAAAAGGATTACCATCATTAACTTAAGTCTTTAGAGATATTTTAATCAATGAAAAACTTAATACTTTTGAAAAAGTAGTTTAATATCTTGAGAATAATGAAGTAGGGTGTGGTTTATATAATATAGTTAGTGGTATGTAAAAAGATTAAGGTGTTATTATTACAAGAGGATCATAAGAAACTTTTCAAACAATAAGGTTAAATACCTCAATTGGAATTAAGTATTTAGTTTAAACAAATTATGATCATTGGTTACCTGATCCAGAATATGATCCAAGAAGAACTGAGGCAGAAAATCTACTATAAGGAATGAAAAATAATCTAATGAATGAGTTTGGTGTTTATGCTATAATGAATACATATCCAGTCCATAATGAAGGTACTTTCCTAACTGTTATTATGAATGCTAAATATAATAGAATTATAGTATTAGGATAAGAAGCTATTACATTCTTTGATGATGAATGATATAATATTTATAATTTATAAATAATCAAATTCTATTTTTAGAATCATCTTTTTACATTTAATAAAAAGTATAAATTTGAAGTGTAATGCTATATATTACAATTCTTCCATTCACTTAAATATCTTCATTAAAATAAAATTATTCATAGAAATATAAAATTAGGGGAATCATGTGACAGAATGGAATTAAAATTAGGAGATTTTCGATTAACCACTAAATTAGATTTTTATGGAGTAAAAAAAAACAACATATTGTACTCTAAATTACATAGCCTCTAAAATTTTGATGGCAAATCTGATCATTCTAATGTAGTAGATATATGGTCATTTGGCGTTATTATTTATACTTTCAATAGAAACACCTTCTTTTGAAACCTAAGATATAACAACATATAAGAAAATTAAAGTATGTTAATATACATTCCCTGATCATGTAGTAATATCAAATAATGCTAAAAATGTTAATTATAGATCCAAGTAAAAATCCTACTTTAGTTACAACTTATATCATTCGTTAATGACATCCAATTCAATTTTCAAAAATCTGCTCATATTTCAACTTTAGTTGGTCCACTTTCTTTGTCATAGATTAAAATATTAATTAACTTAAACATTTCAAATAAAGACTACCTGATATAGCATCTTAGTATAACTAATGGTATGAATTAATGTAAAATTATATTATATTATAGAAAAAATTTAAAATATAAAGAAATGAGTGGTTATAGATTTTAATGATTCAAGTCAAATAATTGCAGATCTAAAATAATTTTATTTTGAATATATTGAAGAAAAATAAGATAATAAATCATATGAAATTAATACATAATAATTATATGATTATTCAAGAGATTTATAATAGAAAGTAACATTACTTGAACATTTTAGAGAATATCTTGATATGGATATAATTAATTAGTACAGATAAAGAAATTATTGATTAATCTGATGATAATCAAATCTCTATTGTTTATGTTAAAAATAAATGAAAACTAAACATGCTTTCTTTCGAATAAAATAGTTTAAGAAGATAACACTTAATAAAAAAGGAAAAAAGCAGAATTACATTTTGAACACTGCTTTAGAATCATAAAATGATGGAATGACCAAATGTAAGTATTTGTTTACTTTATTTTTAGACTTAAATATACTAAGGAGATCTTGTAACAGATGCTAAACTTAGAAAAATTAATTTATAACTTATTAACTTATTGGAATTGGAAATGAACTAATAATACATTATTTTAAAAATACTTATTCGATTAAATTATATACCTACGTAAAATTTTTAAGTTTTATATTCTCTTAAAATTTTTTTATTATTAATATTAAGGATTTCTCAAATTTAATAACAAATCAATAAATTCAAGACTTTAAGATTCATTAAATATTAATAATATTATATTTGAAAATTAATAAGAAATATCCTAATAATAATAAATATATTTTCAGATTTATATCTAATTGAAAATAAACAAAAAAGTTTATATCATCAATATTGAAAAAAATCTACATTTAGTAATTATATCATCAATCAATTATCATCTATTTACAATTTACATAATATAAGTTATACTGGGTTTTGGATGGGAAGTTAAGAATGAATTATTTTTTCTTGTTTGAAACCTGCTCTAGTATATTGAAAATAGCACATACTTTTAGGAATATGAAAAATGGCAAAAGGAAAACTAATTTTTTAAATTAAAAAGAAATTGCAAAATATGATTTTAAAATAATTAAATTTAAGGATCTCAATCATCAATATATATTTTAGTTTACTCAACACAAAATACAATAATTATAATTATTTATAAATTTAACATTTTTCTTTAATTAGTAATGTTTTAAGTTTAATTAAATTGAACAGATCAAAATTCAGATTTAGTAAAACAATAGGATAAAAATTTAAAACCAAAAAGAATGAATATAGAAAATAAAATTAAAGCTAAATTGATAATAATCATTAAATTTAGATCTGCACATCAAAAGTTTGTTGATTATTGATTTTTCTAGTTTCTTCTACATTAGTTTGTCTATTATAAGAAATATGTGAATTTCTATCAGGTTAGTATTCTTAAGCATTCAATTCAGATCTAATATTATGAATATTGAGTTTACATTTATTATTAAGGAAAAGATTTATTATCTGCAATAGTATTATCTTTATTTGCATTAATTTTATTTGAATAATATGAAGTTATCATTTTAAACTTTTGATGGTCATTTTCAGTTTCATTAATTTTCCTTAATTCATTAATATATTCAAATTTAGAAGTGAGTTAACCATGTAGAGTGACGGTTGCATTTTATAAAAATTGTGGTAAACCACTTTCTTCTAAAGGTTTATTAGGATCTGAATAAGCTAAATAAGGAACAATATCTCGAAGTGCTTTTCCAAAATCCATACTAGCTTCATATGGCATTTAAGATGGTAAGAAATCTATGGACATATACATAATATCATTTTGTGATTAGAAATCGAATTCATCATGAATAGATTAAGTAATTGGATTATAATAGTAAACAGGGTGATCAGGATTTGTAAACTTTTTCAAGAATTAGATTGAACCTTCTAGATCACAAGTAACATCACATACAGCTTATAATCTACTATTTCCAGATTCAACTAATTCCTAAATATATGTTATATTTTTACTTAAATTTAGGTATCAGTAATATATCTAGGAAATTTGTACTCCCAATAAATATCATTAACGAGAATAGTGAGATAGGGTAAGTATATTTAATGAAAAATTGGTTCAATCTAGTGGATTTTCATAATAATCTTATGATGTAAATTCTTTATACAAATCATGTTTATGTCTAACAAGATGTGTAGTCTTAAATGGACAAACATATATAGTATTTTTATGTTTTATATCATTTGGATTACTTACTAGTATTTTTAAATCTTCTGGATTAATCAATGTAATTTAAAGTTATGACAATGCTTCTAATGAGCCTTTTCCACATGATCCTGTTGAACCCATTACTCCAATAATTAATGGCAACCCTAATTTATTAGGAAGACCTCTTTCTTTAATTGTTCATAAGCATCTTTTTTATTATAATATTGAAATGTTGGACCTATTTATAAAAATGGAGTATTCATATCTCTTTTTAATAAATACTTACCATATTCATTCAAAAATGTTATAATTCCTGATATACCTGCATAAGGAAATGAAGTTATGTTAACACCCTAATCTAGTATATTTTTTGTTTACGTTATCATCATAAATTCTTTCATATTCTAAATGTCTAATATTTTTCTTAAGCATCACATCCTGGCATATTATATGGTTCTGCTTCTAAAGTATGAGACCAATTTAAATAAGTCATTCCTTCAATATATTTTTCTAGCGGGATTTCTTTTATACAGATTATTGCTCTGCATATTTATAAATCTTCTTAAACCAAGCATCCAACCTCTAAATATTGATCATCTGTAAATATTCTCTTTGTAGAAGGCTATACTACTATTTAAATTCGATTATGCTATCAATATTTTAAATTAACTTACTTTTTCCATTATATACTTGCAATCATGAGGGGGAATAGGTGTTCTTCTTTCCATATACGATTTATCTTCAGCTCTTATACCAATATATAATTTGTCCATTTCTATTATACTGTAAAATATATAATAAAGATATGAAAAATTATTACATAAGTACTTCAAATTAATGAATTACTCAAAAAGATATACTAATTTTTATAATAATGAAAAATAATTAAAATATTTAATCTTCATTTTATTATATATATAAATATATAAATGTCATTCTAACTATCAATTTTCAATTTATTTTCAAAATCTTTAATTTTACATATAAATCTAAGTATTAATTACTCAACTTTAACAATTTATAATAGAATAATATTTCTCTAATAAAAAATGACAAATTTATATATACAAATTGTTTAATAATATTTTATATTCAATTAATAAATAAAAATTCATATATCTAAAAATTAAAACTCATATTTGTATTAATGATAACCCAGAACAGCTACTTTGATTGAAAGGAAATATTTTATAATACAAATATAAAAATACTTTATAGATGTTGTTTTTATTAAATTTACTTATTTGGTTATCATAGTTGATAATAACACATCACATCATACATTTTATCAATCTTTACATTGTATTAATAAATTCAATTAGAAGTTATTAAATCAAAACTTTTAAATTCACTTTTTCAATTTTTTGGAAAGCATTCTATTAAGGTTTTAAAGTTCCAAATGATATGATATTTACTAATATAACTAAATTTATAAATAAGAATTCATTAAATCAATATTTCCATGTAATTTTTATGAAATTTTTTTTCTCTTTCTTAGAGTAGGAATCTATTCTATAAGTTTCTAATTGATTAGACTTATTTCTATTTTGATTTTTGGGCTCTGATTTTCAAAGCTCTGATATACAGCTTTCTGATTTTCAAAGCCCTGATATCCCTTCTTCTCAATTTAAATTTTAGTCTTCATAAAGGGTTCAAAAGAATCATTATATTTGAATATTATAAAAAATTCCCTTCTTTCACCCCATTCCATAAGAATACTTTCTAATTATGTTTAAACTCTCTATATTAATATCTCTAAATTCCGATAATGTTATATTTGCTCATTATAAACAGAACTAAAACTTATTATATTAAGAGAAGGCATTTGTTCTAGAAAACTTGTAGTTTAATAATTCGGTATTTATGGAATTTGGCTTTAAGCCAACTCTTTTTCCTGAATTATTGTCAGATAATTTAATTAATGAAAATTTTTCAAGATTGGCGGGGTTTTGAACATAAAAATCTGATAAAATATGAGCCTAAATTCTATTAGAGAAATCTATAAGATAATTATATTAATCAATTTTTAGAAATTTATAAAATGAAAGGAAATTAATGAATATTTATAAATTGATTTTGGCTTTATTTTTTGTTAATGTTGCCAATTAAATCTAAATAGTAAAATTTTTGTAAAATAATTGAATTACCAAAATGAATAGGATTTCTTTAATTCTAAAGTCATTGTATTTATTAAAAATCAATAAATGCAAATAAAAAAGCTAATATAGGAAATTAAGAATTTTTTAATAAGGGGAAGAAATATTTAATATAGATTGAAAAATGACTTAAATATATAATAAGAAAATGAAAAATTATGTGGTGATCAATAGTTTTTTTCAACAGGAAACACATATGATTTTGCAAAGATTTAAGAATGATTATANAACTCATATTTGTATTAATGATAACCCAGAACAGCTACTTTGATTGAAAGGAAATATTTTATAATACAAATATAAAAATACTTTATAGATGTTGTTTTTATTAAATTTACTTATTTGGTTATCATAGTTGATAATAACACATCACATCATACATTTTATCAATCTTTACATTGTATTAATAAATTCAATTAGAAGTTATTAAATCAAAACTTTTAAATTCACTTTTTCAATTTTTTGGAAAGCATTCTATTAAGGTTTTAAAGTTCCAAATGATATGATATTTACTAATATAACTAAATTTATAAATAAGAATTCATTAAATCAATATTTCCATGTAATTTTTATGAAATTTTTTTTCTCTTTCTTAGAGTAGGAATCTATTCTATAAGTTTCTAATTGATTAGACTTATTTCTATTTTGATTTTTGGGCTCTGATTTTCAAAGCTCTGATATACAGCTTTCTGATTTTCAAAGCCCTGATATCCCTTCTTCTCAATTTAAATTTTAGTCTTCATAAAGGGTTCAAAAGAATCATTATATTTGAATATTATAAAAAATTCCCTTCTTTCACCCCATTCCATAAGAATACTTTCTAATTATGTTTAAACTCTCTATATTAATATCTCTAAATTCCGATAATGTTATATTTGCTCATTATAAACAGAACTAAAACTTATTATATTAAGAGAAGGCATTTGTTCTAGAAAACTTGTAGTTTAATAATTCGGTATTTATGGAATTTGGCTTTAAGCCAACTCTTTTTCCTGAATTATTGTCAGATAATTTAATTAATGAAAATTTTTCAAGATTGGCGGGGTTTTGAACATAAAAATCTGATAAAATATGAGCCTAAATTCTATTAGAGAAATCTATAAGATAATTATATTAATCAATTTTTAGAAATTTATAAAATGAAAGGAAATTAATGAATATTTATAAATTGATTTTGGCTTTATTTTTTGTTAATGTTGCCAATTAAATCTAAATAGTAAAATTTTTGTAAAATAATTGAATTACCAAAATGAATAGGATTTCTTTAATTCTAAAGTCATTGTATTTATTAAAAATCAATAAATGCAAATAAAAAAGCTAATATAGGAAATTAAGAATTTTTTAATAAGGGGAAGAAATATTTAATATAGATTGAAAAATGACTTAAATATATAATAAGAAAATGAAAAATTATGTGGTGATCAATAGTTTTTTTCAACAGGAAACACATATGATTTTGCAAAGATTTAAGAATGATTATATAATAAGATTAAATTAATTATACAATAGATTATAAATGCGGAATAAATTTTAATTTTAAAATTTTGGATATTTTTTTTATTGAAATGAGAAAACAAAGTGAATAATTTACTTTTTAAAAAGAATATTATATTTTTTATTATAAATTCTTCAAATAAAACTATTTATTTCCCATTTTAATTCCATAATCATTAAGGGACCATTCACAACTAACCATACTTTCATTCGTTATTTTCTCTCTCATAATAAGCATGAAGTGTCACTAATAGATTTCAAAGTAAATTATATTTACTTTAAATTTCCTTAGACTTTTAAATCAACATAAAATAAAGATGCATTTTTTCAATCTAAATTACAAATGAGAATAAAAATAAAAAAAGAACTGCTCATTTTTTTTTTCTCTCGTAAGTTTCATATTATTAAGACTTTTTCACTTTTAAAATATTGTTACTAAAAATCAAATATATTTTTATGTTTCTATAACTTTTACACCAAGGGTATAAGTCTTATTTGAGTAAATAGAAGTTTGGACAAAGGATGATAATATTTTTTGATTATTTGAAAGTTAACTCACTTAATTAACTAGTAGAATTCTAGTAAGCGTTTCATTGTCATTCTCATTAAACATAATATTTTATTGTTTAATTAAAAAAGCTAGTGAAAAACTTTAAAGCTCAAATATATTGTAAAGTTAGATATAAGAAGTTAATTCTTTTGGATAATGTTTGAATATTTAAATAGTATAGCTGTATATAAATACAGCTTAATTTTTTATGAGGTTAATAAGTTGATATGAAATTATGAAACAAGCAAATTATTATCTTTAAGTTCATTTAGTTAAAATTTAGATAAAATTGAAATATATATTTCATACTTATTGCTTTACTCTAGTAATCCAATTTAATCAAGATTTAAAATTTTCTCAATAAACAAAATTCTATTTCAAAATATGTGAGAAAATATAAAAATTAATAAATAATATAGTAATTTTAATCAAAATAGAAGATAAACAATAAAGGTTAACTTTTAATCACCTGAAATAATGGAATATGTTTAAAAATGTCCTTTTAAAAAAAGAAGTAAAGGCTTAAGTTATAATAATAGTAGGTGATTGAAGAATATTGATAAATTTATCACAAAAGTAATTCGTATATATCAAACTTAAGGAGTATAAACAAGAACTTCATGATAAAAGAAACAATAAATAAGAAATTTTAAATGGTACAGTAAACAAAATATTCAGTATTTAATACCAAAAGATTAATGAATCTAACTAAAAACGTTCAAATTGTTACATATTTTGGCAATTTTTTTCAGAGAATTAATTTTTTAATGAAATAAATAAACAATTTAATTGATTATAAAAGTTTAGTGTTTACTCTGCTAATACTTTTTGTGGTTAAGAGTATGATAAAAAATAATTTAAAAGATTAGCTTGAGACATTTTTTTTTATCAAAATTGTAATTACTACTAAAATTCTTGAGTTTAATTTTTTTAAATAATCTGTTGAGATATGTAAAAACGAAATGAATGAGAATCAATTATTTAAATAATAAAACTATACTAATTAAATAAATAAATTTTTAAATCATTTATATTCAAAGTTTAATTCTGATTTCCTGAGCATTAGAAATAAAATATAGAGTTTTGAAACCAAAACAAAAAGTTTTGATTATTCAAGATTTTTTTCAGAGTCAGTCCAGGTGAGTGCTTCTTTTTTAAAAGAAATTTAATCGAGAAAAATCAATTCAAGATATGTCAGAAACAACTCTTATACCACTATTAAAAATTTGAATTTTTTGATTCTATAAAAAATATTAAGAATAATGCAGCCATTTATAATATATAATTGGATTTTGTAGTATTAGAATGATTCTTATATTTAAACTGAAAGTAATCTTTCCTTTTGATTTTTTAAGCTTTCTACGTTAGTTGTTGAGTTATGGGTGGATGAAATATTATTAATTGAAATAAGATGAAGTTATTTTAATGATGTATATTTCTTTGATTATTTAACATAACATGAATTGATATTAAAAAGATAATAAAAATTATGAACTTCTTGTCTAGTATTATAATGCTTTTTGCCTTTGATTTATCAATATGCTAAGCCATTTACAGTTTATCAGCAAGTTACCCACTTGAAATAATCCCTTTTGGAAATACAGCTGAAAGTGATATTATTTCTGCAGGTTTTGGAGTTTGGAGTAGATATGTCCCTTTAAGTCCTATAATATAAATTGGGGAGATTGGAATACTAGATAGTAGTTGTTTTCATTTGTTTAGAATAGAAGNCACAAAAGTAATTCGTATATATCAAGCTTAAGGAGTATAAACAAGGACTTCATGATAAAAGAAACAATAAATAAGAAATTTTAAATGATACAGTAAACAAAATATTCAGTATTTAATACCAAAAGATTAATGAATCTAACTAAAAACGTTCAAATTGCTACATATTTTGGCAATTTTTTCAGAGAATTAATTTTTTAATGAAATAAATATAAACAATTTAATTGATTAAAAAAGTTTAGTGTTTGATCTGCTAATACTTTTTGTGGTTAAGAGTATGATAAAAAATAATTTAAAAGATTAGCTTGAGACATTTTTTTTATCAAAATTGTAATTACCACTAAAATTCTGATGATTTTATGATGCTACTTGAGTTTAATTTTTTAAAATAATCTGTTGAGATATGTAAAAACGAAATGAATGAGAATCAATTATTTAAATAATGAAACTATACTAATTAAATAAATAAATTTTTAAATCATTTATATTCAAAGTTTAATTCTGATTTCCTTAGCATTAGAAATAAAATATAGAGTTTGGAAACCAAAACAAAAAGTTTTGATTATTCCAATTAAAGAAAAGGAATATTTTTCAATGAATTTAAAATGTTAGTTAAAAAATATACTTGTAATTTTCTTAAGAAATTATAATGCTAATTTTAATTTTTATTTTATAAGCCCAATCAATAAGATTTTTGTCAGAGTCAGTCCAGGTGAGTGCTTCTTTTTTAAAAGAAATTTAATCGAGAAAAATTAATTCAAGTTATATCAGAAACAACTCTTATACCACAATTAAAAATTTGAATTTTTTGATTCTATAAAAAATATTAAGAATAATGCAGCCATTTATAATATATAATTGTATTTTGTAGTATTTGAATGATTCTTATATTTAAACTGAAAGTAATCTTTCCTTTTGATTTTTTAAGCTTTCTACGTTAGTTGTTGAGTTATGGGTGGATGAAATATTATTAATTGAAATAAGATGAAGTTATTTTAATGATGTATATTTCTTTGATTATTTAACATAACATGAATTGATATTAAAAAGATAATAAAAATTATGAACTTCTTGTCTAGTATTATAATGCTTTTTGCCTTTGATTTATCAATATGCTAAGCCATTTACAGTTTATCAGCAAGTTACCCACTTGAAATAATCCCTTTTGGAAATACAGCTGAAAGTGATATTATTTCTGCAGGTTTTGGAATTTGGAGTAGATATGTTCCTTTAAGTCCTATAATATAAATTGGGGAGATTGGAATACTAGATAGTAGTTGTTTTCATTTGTTTAGAATAGAGGACATAAAAACTTAGTATTTGCATTTTTTATATTATGAATGCATAAATGCAGAGGTTTAAACAATTAAAAAATATTTTTAATTTAGAGGTCATGATGGTATTACTTTAACAGAAGAAATACAAATCAGTCATACATCTTATGAATATATCTGGTATTTTTAGGGATTCTTAACAACACCTTCAAAAACTTGTGTTTCTCTGTATGTATATAAAGAAATGAATTAATTATTTCAGAAGGAAATATAATTAGAGTTTAAATTTAATGAAAACAATTTAAATTAAATCTTCGGAGGGGATTTCAAAGTAAACTAAATTTTATTATCATATTATCCTGGAGAAATTAATTATATTATTGATGGTTTTTTTAGAGACCCTGATTTTTTCTTTTACCTTATAAAAGAATAAAGTTTATTTAATGAATGTATTTGTTAAAATAGTATGATAACTAATGTACCAGATATTACAATAGAAAAATAAGATTTATATGAATATATATCACAAAAAACTAATTGCTAATAATTTTTGTTATCAGGATGGGTGAAAATTAGGGGTATTAAATAAGTCACAAATGAAATTTATTTTTAACTATTCAGATTGTCAAATAATTATCAGCATCCTTAATTGGCTTAAGCTAATTTATGTCCTTTTTAGTTATTTTATAAAATATCTTCCAATAGAAATCAAATAGTCGTAACTACTTATAGTTATACTTTTCCATCTTTAAATATCGATTTATCAAATAATCCTTTTTTAAAAACAGAAACATTTGATATAGATTTTGATATTTAATTATGGCATTATATTTTAGTTAAAAAGTTAGATACTTAGATTTAAATTTCAATAATATTTTATGAAGGTTTTAATCAATAAAAATTAAGCATAGACTTAGAAGTATCTCAATTTAGTATGGTTTAATTTAAATTACTTTATGGCAATATATTTTAATCTAAACCTAACTTTTTAACAATTTAAATTATAGGT